CCGAGGCCTGCCACGGCGCCGAGGAGCCCGGCGTGGGGGCCGTGCCCGAGCGGGACTGGTGGCACCGGGGCGCCATGATCATCTACACCAGCGGGACCACGGGCAGGCCCAAGGGCGTCCTGAGCACCCACCACAACCTCAGGGCCGTGGTGAGTGTGCGGCCGCGGGGCCCTCACGCCTGCACCCCGGCCCCACCTGCAGGGCCTCCCTGGACGCCGGGGCTCCCACGGGGCGAGGGGGCGGACACAGGACGGGTGGGTGGGGCAGCGCCAGGAGGTTTGCAAGGGGCCTCAGACCTGCCGCTGGGCCCTGCTGTCCCTGGGCGGGGGGTGGGCGGCAAGGCCCTGTTTCAGCAGTGATCTCGGGGTCCCCACCCGCCAAGGGCCTCCACATCAGGCCGCCCTCAGTTTCAAGGTCACCGTCCCCATCTGCAAGGCGGGGAGCTGGGTGTCAGCCCTCAGGCCGCCTGCAGACCCACGTGCCGAGGCCACAGCAGGAGAGTGGGCGCTGCCGGCGCAGCTGGCCCACGCCGAGCCCCTTGTCCACAGGTAACCGGGCTGGTGCACAAGTGGGCCTGGACCCGGGACGATGTCATCCTGCACGTGCTCCCTCTGCACCACGTCCACGGTGTGGTCAACAAGCTGCTGTGTCCACTTTGGGTGGGCGCCACTTGCGTGATGCTGCCTGAGTTCGACGCCCAGCAGGTGGGTCTGTGGGTGGGGGCTGGGGACCTGCGGGGCAGTGGGGTGGCGGGGGCAGGCCGGGCCAGCCCCGCGCTGGAGGCTGCTGTGTGCCTGCGGGTCGCCCTGCCCGTGGCCCCTGCGGCAGACCCCTGTGTCCCCTACAGGCCCCGCCACCAGCCACCGGCCTCTGTGCCTGTCCGGACTACGCCGGGGCTTAAATTGAAGGTGTAAGTGGGCAACTCCCGCCAGAGGCCCATTCCTGCGGCCAGGTCCCTGCCCTCTACCCGCCACTCTTGAGGGCCCTGTGGCCTGCTGGCCCCCTGGCCCCTCCCTGCACGTCACTGTGGAGCCCCTCTGGCCCAGCCACCGGCACGCCGTGCTTCCTGGCCGCTCAGCCGCCCGCAGGCCCCTGTCCAGGGTGGGTGTGTGCCGAGGGCTCTGTCTGCACCCTGAGTGGGGCCCGTGTGTCACTGCTGTTGGCCACCACATCCAGCTGGCAGTGCCCAGAGAACCTCCAGGGAGCCAGGGCCAGCAGGCCTGGATGAGCCCTCCTGCCTCAGTTTCCCTTCTGCAGTGGGGGTAGCAGGGGCCCGGAGGACGCCCGGGGACAGATGGCTCTCCCCTGAGGGCTGAGTCGGGTGGGCACAGCCCGCGCCCGGGCCCGCCCGCCCAGGCAGAGGTGACCCTGGCCCTGCGGGAGGGCGTCCGGACCCATCTCTGCGGGACCCAGGACAAAGGGCCCAGGGTGCGTGGACTTGGCTGGCAGTGCCTGAAGCGGAGCGCGAGGGCGTGGGGGCCCCCAGTGGCAGCTCCCAGTGCCAGGCGCAGGCTGCCTGGGCAGGGGCCCCAGTGCAGCTGACCCCTGCTCCCGCACTCTGCAGTCCCTGGCCCCTGGGCCGCCTGTCTCTGTCTGGAGAGCCCAGCCCCTGGCTGCTGGCTCGGAGCTTTCTCAGCCTGTGTGCCTCACAGAGGGCTCCAGGACGCCTGGAGACTGGTCTGCGGGACTTCACTCGCCGAAGCCACCTGCCTGTCTCCTCCTGGAGGGGGACTCCCGTGAGCGGGGGGCACAGGCTGGGCCCCTCTGACTCTTGGGCCCAGCCCCTGCAGAGGACGACGGCGACCCCAGGCCGAGCGGTCCCGGTGTGGGCCTAGACACCGGGGCACCTCCAGCCCCAGAAAGACCCAAGGGGGCCGTAGGGGCTCCTGTTGCAGGGGCCTGTTGAGGAGGGAGCGCCCGGGCGTCCAGCGTGCCTGGCTGACGTGGCCGCAGATGGCGCACGGGCCAGCCCCGCCAGAGCGGGCAGCCTGTAGCGGCCTGCGGACAGGGCTCCGCCCCCTTGGCCAGAGGAGAGGGCACCCTCACTGGCACATCTAGATGCCTGCTGGGGCCCTGAGCTGGCCGCCGGGGACGGGGTGGGGGCAGCTGGCACCGTGGGGACTGTGCCTGCACTGAGGGGGCAGCTGCCCGGCGAGTGCAGGTAGCCTGGGTGCTCCACATCCGAGGGTCCTGGACCCAGAGGCCGCCCACTGGGCAGCCAGTCCGGCGGTTCCAGGAGCCCGGCTGGCCACACGCATGCGCGCGGCAGCGGACCCTGCAGCCTGGGCTCCGCCTTGCGCGGTCTTGGCAGCCCCGAGTGCAAGCGGGGCTCCGCGAGCCCGGGTCTGCAGGCCAGTCAGCCAGCACACGCCCCGCCCCGCCCCCGGGCCCCAGGAACCTCACAGGCACCCAGGCTGCCGAGGCGGGAGCCCCGGCCCCGTGTCCAGCGCGTGGCCTCGGTGAAGCCCCGGCCGCTCCCCGGAGTGCGGATGCTGGTTGAGGAGGCGGCTCTCCCGCCCCGCCCCCTGGGCCTGCAACAGGCAGACCCCCCACACGGCCCAGTAGGCCCCGCCCCTGCCCCACAGGCTCC